GTTCACACGCATGCCGGTCACGTCGCACTCGGCTGCGAACCTTTCTAAGGAGCACTGTAGATCAGTTTCACAAGATGCCAATAAAATTTGCATCATTTCGAAATAACCGTCGTTAACTTTTTGCCATACACGAAAATTCTGGTTTGCCTAATTTGCTGCGTGGTTTCCAGAATATTAGTGAGCTATGATAAAGACAGCGAAATCTTGAATTTACTTGAGTTCCGCATTACTTGCTGAGGAATGTTCTCACAGTTGGAGGTTGAACAGTGAGCCACTTGACTATTCCATCGGTTTGAAGCCCTGGCAATCTTAATGATCTCTATAACGGCAATAATGCCGCTGCTACATTATTCAAATCCTCAGAATTTATGGCACTGCCGGCTAGTAGTAGACTGCAAGTTCTACGTAAAGATGTTCTTTCCAAATATTTCCTTTTCAGTCATCAATGAATGCATTATGATCAGCTGCTCTAGTTATCCACTGCATGGTCATTATGCCCGAATCCGCGTACAGATTCCTTATTTCATTGCCTTTCCTTTCCTTGAAACACTCAGCAGTTTTCTTCCAATCGCTAGCTGTTAGACATTATTTGAGCATAAATTTGATTTAGACTATACAGATAAGATTAGCATAGTCGCTGCTCAAGACAGCTTAGACACTGTCCTGACGTGGTGACAGTGGCAAAGAGGTCGGCTTTGAATTCCAGAGGTGTCAGTCGAACCTGCCCAAGCAACAATCTGTAGAGCCAGCTCCGCAATGGTCTGTCCATCAGAAAGATGGTGTTTCAAAGGAATGCAACTCAAGTACTGCGAGGTCTGCAGTGATGATAATAGAAGCAGCATAATAGCAATGGAAATGATAGTGATAATAATGGAAGCACATCGTCAAAGGCACTGCGGTCGCTATTTATGGCTGAAAATGAATAGCATGACTAGAAGGCAGGCCGTTGATACGGAAGAAAATGAAAAGCGGCATCCAGTGAAATCTGTTCACAGTTTGTATATATAGTTCGCTCGCTGCTGTACAAGGGCAAATACAGTTCCTGTGCTTAAATGTGCCGCTGTATTTAGCGATGACGAAAACCTCGACTAGAGCAGCTTAGAAGTCCGCGGGGAGTCCATGTGACTCCATTACGAATCCGTGTCTTAATCGTGAATTCCCTTGAGCGCCTAGAATCCTTCTAGAATTAACCCGCCTGTTTCGTAGTAATCAGCAGAGAAATGCGCAGTAAGTCGGTGACTAGGGACAGCATGGTTTTCTGGTGTGGTCATGCGAGGATGGTCAAGGTGTAAGGCCATGCTGACCGATGCGCGAGAGCACTTTGTGGCTACAATTCCTGTTGACTCACCTGACAGCTGACTATCC